TGAGAAGAATTCTAAGAAGAAAGTAAACCTACAGACATCGGTCTTGTTTAACAAAATATATGTAGTAGGTAAATACATAATGCCGTGTAAAGTAATCTAAATAAAGTTTAAACCTACCATAACGGAGCAATAGCAAATTTATATGGATACTAGTTTCGACATTTACACTTATCCAACGTTGGACTGAAGAAGACACGTTAACGTGTCTAAACTATTATCCAAATAAATTTGGTATTGGTCAGTTATTTTGGATTTTTGGCGATAGTGTTATTATTGATCATCAGAGGGCAGCTTAGAATTTTGCTTGTTCTTTCTGCTTTTGAAAACAACGCATGCGTGTAGTAAAAGAAGGAAATATATAGAGCAAGACCATCAAGAATGAAGGGTCAGTTATTGCAATTGTTAGAGAGTAATGAAATGGGCAGTAATGTTATGTGGATGAATTATGTTGGTTTGATTAGAATGTGATCATTTGAATGTGGTTAAATGCTATGGATCACTTAGAATCCAAGTTACTTTCAACTGTGATATTTTTCACATTAAAGTATTTCGCTTTGGCTGAAGGTAAGTGTTAGATTTCAAATTAAATTAACACACTTAATCTTGTTAAAACCATAACATTAACGGTTATTTATGTAACTTGATAATATAGTAGCGTTTAAACCACTACTGTGTCTGTCATGTGACATGTATCCCTGACAGCCTGTCATTCGGCGAAAGGCGTGGTGGGTCACGGATAAAGCAGATGTAGTTCGGTTGACATATTGTTATGCATCCTCGTTTACTTAGTTTCATTCATGAGCTCTTGCTCAGAATTGTTAAATTATCACACTGTTTAACTTTTAGTATCTGTAGTCTGTAACCGCGTTTTCTACTTATAAGTTATAGTTGTATTGATAGTGTTATAGTATTGCTGTTTTGGTTTATGCTACAAAGTCTTAACAATAACTAGTTGAACACGAACTTACAGTACACGAAAGTACAATACAAATTCTTATCGATGATAGGATTTAGCTAGAAGTAGAAGTTAGATGAAAAAATCAAAGCTGTGTTCTCTTTGGTTTGGGTAATCTATTTAATTTTAGTGCTTTCTTTATGTTTTCAGCATCAGGTTCAGTACGACAAATTGTTGGTTTGATATTGCTGCATGTCCGTAGATGACCGTATACACAGTAATACTAATAGTTAAACAAACAAACTGTGAAACTTAAATAATGTGCAATATTTTGCTAACTTTGGGATAAACGCAATAGATAAAATAATAATATTAATAACAACTTACAAACACATGGTAAAGGGTTTCTTTTGTAATTAGTATTACTAATAATGTAGCTACTAAATCAAAATGACAGTAAAATAGTTGCAAAGTGGGTGAATCTAAGTTGTGGGTAAATCATATGTTTATAATTACAAAAATGTATGATATAATAGTATCTAACTTAAACAAAAGGTTTCGTTTTTTGCACAATATTACAGACAAGAAGGAATCATTTCTTCTTTCAACTTGTTATCTTTACACACCTATCCCTGTCAGAGAAGTTAACATTTAAATCCATCTTTTATTTTTAAGGAAATCTAAATTCTTGTAACTTGTGAACCTTCATTATTGACAATGGTAACTCATTCTATAAACTAATCATCATATTAAAAAATATACTGGCTTAACTGAAGTTAATTTTTCTTATAAATTTTAAATTTGTGGCATTTTCTCATGTTTTCAGAGTACAACACAAAGAAGTTGGAAACCTTTATTTTACTTATCTTCCAAATGATCTTGTAACTTTCAATAAAATCAACTTTAAGTCTTTAACCCTTATCTCAAGATAAAATAAATGGAAAACTTAACCAGTCTCTAAAAGATAACTATTCCATCTGTGGAATCATCCTACAGTAGTAACCCTCTTCTGAATCCTTTCCAATAAGTCTACCTTTCAAAAGGAGACCAAAGCTTCACAAAGTATCTCAAGTGAAGCTTATATAGGTTAATAATTTTCCCTTTTTTCTGTGTTGATCCAATTGCACCTATAATTACAGTATAAGCATATGTGATTAATTTTTTTCTCTATTAATTATATAAAAATGTACATTACTAATAATATTTCATTTAGTTACCAACCAGTGTTATGACTCGGAGGTTGTGAATTAAGGCTTTGTTTTAAAGTCAGAATTGTGCCAGATTTTGCATTCTTTCATGTTAGTGTGTGTTATGCATATTTCAAAAGTATTCTAGTAAATTAAAATACAGACATTTAAGTCGTCAGCAGTTATACAGTGTGATTATTTTGTTAAGTCTTGTCTCAGTAATTGGTTTCAAAGTATGGTATTAATGTTTTATGAAATTTTGAATATTTTAAATGGTCATAAATGTAAATTAACAACACATAGTTGGACAAACTTATTGAAACCAATTTGTATATATATTCTGGTGTTATCATAATTTTCTCAAACACTCTTTATACGTTGGTTTATTTATATTTAAATTAATTATGCTTCCTATTAAAAAAGCCAATAGAAAGTGAATTTATTCTTAAAGATAGTTTAAAATGATAATTTCAGTTGAGATTTTGTGTAATCACTGACCTTAGTGATCTGCACACTTCAGTGGAATGTTGAAATACAAAAATTAAAAATGAACCTTCAATTTAATATATGAAATAAAGAATACTTGAACAGCCTTAAGAATGTAATAATTGAGCTACAATGGATTTTAAAATTTTGTTGGATAAGTGTTTTTCATCTGTATTTATAGTTACTTTCTTAATACTAACAAAATGATGTAACCTTAACAATATAGTTCATGGTAAACACGCGCACACACAAACACACAACACAAACAAAGGTTTTTTTGAAATAGGACATTAGAATTTTCCTAAATCTTTGTTTAAACTATAAACTAAGTCTCTTTCTGTTTGTCAGATGAAATAAATCTTTCCTTTGTATCATATAGTACAGATGTAGATGTTGTATTTTCTTAAGATTGCAATACTGTGTGTAAATTGTATGGGCAGAAGTCATTAAGTTTTGTAATATTTATTTACAATTATTAACTTGTACAGATTGTATCCATTTTTTTTCTTCTCCAATCATTTTTTAGGGAAACACAACTGTCTCCTTCATATGTATTGTAAATTCTTCTGTCACTTCTAATGTTAAGTGGGTTGTTTTAGATTACTTAGTGAAAATAAGAGTTCAGTCCATGTAATGATAGCAGATTAGTTTATTTCTCTCATAACATTTGTATAGGTTTATAGGCAGTATGCACTTTGATACAAGTTGTAGGCCCAAGCTTGCATACAACATTACAAAAGAAATTCCTTGTTAATGGTAGTTAAGACTAATGTACAAGTAAACTTTCTTGTATAATTTTGTGGCTAATTGATAAAGTAACTGAATATGTGTGATAGCTGACACTGATCTGAATACTTCACTAACTTATTAAATACTGTACTGAACTCTGTTACTGAATGAACTGAACTTAATGCTTCACTGATTATTGTATTTATAACTAATGTACCCAGCTAGATCTTAGTCAGATTTACGAGATATGAAACTCATGCCCCCTAGCAAGCATCCAAATTAAAACAATGAAAATATAACTTATAGCAATATGAATAACTTCCAGGTGTGATGCTGTTCATTTTCACAAGGTTTATTAGAAAATAGTTTGATAAAGAATTTTGTTTTTAAAAATAAGGCATAAGTTATTCTTATTGTATACTTCTTGTGATGAATCTATATATGTGACCATTGTGGTCATAGTGTTTTTACACACCATTTATAGTTTAGGCAGTGAGACCAAGGAAAATTACAACAATTAATTCTCAATATTCTTTAATATTTATAATTAAATAAAACACCCAAAGACATGCTCTAACTAATATGAAAGCATAATTTGGTAGGGAGCTTTAACTGTTATGAGAGCTTTATGCTATATAAAACTACCATTATTGATTAATAAACTGTACTTTTGTGACAATCTTTACCTCTCTGATTATAGGCATCAGTGTATAATAAGGGTGTGATGTGGCAGTTTAATAATGCACATAATATACTGTACTTTTGTGACAATCTTTACCTCTCTGATTATAGGCATCAGTGTATAATAAGGGTGTGATGTGGCAGTTTAATAATGCACATAATATACTGTACTTTTGTGACAATCTTTACCTCTCTGATTATAGGCATCAGTGTATAATAAGGTTGTGATGTGGCAGTTTAATAATGCACATAATTTGAATGTTTAATGATTTGATGCGAAAAAGAGTATAATGTTCGTGCATTTTGGTTTTCAGTTAACTCCACAGAACCTAAAGCTGTCATTGAAGTTTCTCTGTATGACAAAAGTCCCACGACTGTCGAGATCGACTGGCACACTCGAGTTATTCATCGACAGAACCTTTCAGATTGTGAGTTGGTTTACAGCCGACTTGACAGTCCCGAGCAGGTGGAGGTTTGGTCCAACTTCATACCAACTGGCCATGTATTTCCACTAACAGGACTAAAAAACAATGTGACATATCATTTCCAAATGATCTGCTATGACACAATTGGCAGAAAATTCGAATCCAACAACCTTGAGTTTACAACAGGTAATGTGAGTATTTTTTTTTTGTTTGTGAAATATGACCTGTTGAATTTCACCAGTGTAGTTTCATCATAAGTATTCTGTTGCTGCCAGCTGAGCGTGCAATATTTAGTTAACACTCAAATGTGTGGGTGTTTACTTAAGTGGATACTGTTCATTGTCTTTTAACTTTCTTTTTTTTTTATATTTGTGTTGAGTGTGGCTGCAAATGTTTAATCTAGTAAGATACATGTAGATTCTGGGTATGTAAGATGTATAACTGAAATAGGGGTATAGAGTACAAATGTTTTCTGTATTGTGTTATACACTTTTTATGCTGTATTTGGCTTTATATGCAAAGCAATTTTCAAATGAAAGTAAAATATTTGTGACTGGAAATTGAAGGTTTTAATTGTATGCAATATGTTCTTTATGGTTTTATCTTCAGGCTAGCTCAAATTAAATTTTATAGATTTATCAGATATTTTAACAGTGCTATTTTCCTTGTGTATTTGTGGCTGTCTACTATGACTCATCAACAATTTTTCTTTACATTCACCAAATTATTATATTTGAAATAACTTTAAACCAAATTAATGGCTATGGCAACTTTGAAATGTTTAAAAGAAAATATTTTTTGTATATGGAAATTGTATGTTCATAAGTGTGACAAGGGTAACAAAAATTATTCATGATCTTCTACATGCCATTAACAAAAGCTCAATATTTTGTCAGTGTTTATGTTATTCAACTTTTATGCTCTACACATAGCGATATCGTGTATTATTCATACCTATAAGTTTCTTCATTGTCCATGGAAGAAATGTCAAATGAGTAGAGGTTAAGAAGGAAAAGTACAGCTAGTTTGTTAAATATTGACAGACTTTGTACATGCGGTGAATAAATTAGGAAATATGAATAACTGTATGTAACTATTCATTCTATGTTGATGTGTTGATAAGATGATGTGTCAGTGATGCCAATGTTTTGTTTTGTTAGTTAACAGCAACATGAATCCCTAATACAGTCAGTAAATGTTGGCTGTGTGTCTGTCTGGTATTTTTTATGCGAAATGTATTTGTTAGGTTAAATAAGCTGTTGTAAACAGAGTATAATCTTAGCTCGGGAATCATGCCATCACTGACTGAAGTATAAGAGTTAGTAACACATGCAAGCATACTATTTTTCTTATGGCAACTTCGGTAGCTGCATGTCAAAATGTTGATTATGCTAATGTTGCTGCTTTATTGCTCTGACAACTAGGATGTGGTTCTGCTAAATAATGGAAACATGTTTCTGGTATCAGTTTATCCTTTCAGAATAACCAAATGTGATAAAGTTGATAAACATGAAAAATGTGGTTATCATGAAAGTTCGAAGGAAAAGCTATTACAGCGGGAAATTGAACTTGTAAGTGTATGCTTACCATGAGAGAGAGTATAAATGCTGACCCATCTAGTATATAAGTGATCTTACACTACCAAAAAATGATGCATTCATGCAGAAATAATTTCTCGGGCTTTTGCATATTTGTGGGTAGTGTGTGGAAACTTAATATATTGAAATTGCATTTATACTTGAAATCTGAGTTTAAAAAAATTGTGCAGAAATGCATGCTATCATCAATTGTTATGAATACTTGTGAATATAAGCATTTAAACTATTAACTAATATCTCCAAATGTTCATTTACAGACGTATAACCCTTAATTCACAATGCCTAAGGTGTGTGTGTGTGTACAACACTATTTCACATTACACATGATATACATATATAACTATTAAATGCTACTTACATTTACATGTTCAAAAGCAGTATTACCCCTATTTTTAAGTGGTGCCTTTACATGGATGTGAACATGTGATACAGTGCTCATTTTTCTTTTTAAATTGGTGTGTCTGCATATTTAAAAACTTGTAAATGGTTAGTAGCCATAACTGTGATAATTTTTCTGCATTTTGGGAAAATATCATTTATCAGGTTGTTATTTGGCTTGAAAAGAGCCTGTAAATATGTCCAGGTTATTAGTTTGTTGGAGCTTCTATGAACACAGTAGTGTTGATTGGTGGATACTGTCAAGGGAGTGGCCAATCAAACACATACATTATTGTGTATAACTTAACCATTAGTTAAGGTGAAATACATAATAGACAGAGCATGTAGGATAATTTAGATATTGGAAAAATACATTATATTATAGATTGGTAAAAATATTAATGTTCCTGCATTTTTTTTTGTAAGTGTATTTGAATATATTACAATGAACATGAAGTATGTCTGTGCTTTACAAACCTTCAATTATGTAAACAGTTTCTCTGTGATGTTTAGTTGATAATACAATACTTGGCCTTTAGACTTGCTACTAAATTAAAAGGACTAGAGTTGTCACAAGTGATTTGGCTACTGGTATTACATTTCTGAAAGTAATATGTTTATACATAGGTTAGTTTGTGCTGGTTCAAAAAAGTTGTTATATACTTTTTTAATGTAATCTGCGTGGTTATTTAGAAAAAACATTGTTCTTACTGAAAAAAATAATCAAAGGAACTTTGTTCATTGTTATTATAACAATGTTTCTTTCAACTTCATGAATACATCCTGAATTAGGGTTTCAAGTGCAAATTACAAAAGGAATATTCTGCTTTTAGTAATAAGAACTTCTGAAAAAATTATTAACAAAGAAAATATTATCAGTAGTTAACATTATCACACTAAAAAAATTGTTTTATGTATGAGTCTTTATTGACTCATTATAAGCAAGTAAAACTGTATGGATTGATTTGGTGTCTAAAAGGATGAAAAAATCTTATTTTTACATAGTGATTTAAATGTTAATACCAGGATTATTAAGAAGAGACAGTATTTCACAAGTTAAAGTATATATTCAGAACCTGAAAATGTTAAGACTGATTTACAAGTTACCGTGGCTAAAACCTCTGCACGTATAATTTTGATCAGTTTGTCTCGCTGTGAGTATTAAAAAAAAAAAAGTTACAGGGGATCTGATTAAGGTGTTTAAGATAGCTAGGGAAACTGATAGTGTTGATACTTTTTA